GGGGGGTAGGGAGGAATGAAGGTAAAGAGGGATATAATGAACCAATCATCTGGAATGGTGGAAGGCTGCAACCCATAGGACTGCTACAACATTCCAGCACCCAGTTACTTAAGCGGACTGATCTCTTTCTGAGTGTGAAACAGTTAAGTTTCTTACCTCAATGTAAGCCAGAGGAAACTGAAACAAAAGGGAAAATGTGTTAGTTTAGAACATCAGTTCTCAACCTATGGGTTATGACCCATTTGGCAAACTTCTGTTTCCAAAAATATTTTCATTATGATTTATAACAGTAACAGAATTATGGTTATGAAGTAGCAATGAAAATAATTTTATGGTTGAGGATCACCACAGTGTGAGGACTGCATTAAAAGGCCACAGCATCAGGAAGGTTGAGAATCTCTGTTTTGAAATTTCACACTTATTGCAAATTCAATGGGTTTATAGAATGGGCCTTCTGGTGGGAGTTTCAGCCAGAATTCAATGAACTTAATATCCAGTAACAAAGTCAATTGCAAACCAATTAACCACCATAGAGAAACTGTAAGTAAATGTTCTAGAACTATCTGTGTTCCAGAACTACTCTGTGTGACATTATCATTAAGATGTCTCTGTGCTAGGAGACCCACCCTGGGCCTTTGCAGTATGGAGATCACCAAATTTTTTGTTCAGATGAGGAATGTTTTTAGTGTGGAATGGTGTTGTTAGTGTTAAATTCATCCAGTCCAAATGTTTAACTTTGGGTTTCCTGGACAAACTACATATGCCCACGCTGCACAAGGCACTGGCTTCCCATTCCTCATCTAATGAGCTTCAAAGGGATTAGCACATGCACTCAATATACACCTCCTGAACTTCATTTAACAGATCAAACCAGGGCATAACCATTGCCCTCGAAATACAGTGGAAGAAAGTGCTCAGTAGCTGCTCTTGCTTCAAAGGAGGGTTGCAGCTGACTAAGGCATGGGCTGTATGTACAGGGTTTTTTTGGGTGAAGTGTTTCTTTTTGATTCTTGGATATGTGGTCTTCTACTGGAGTTTAGTCAACTTACCTGCATCTATACTCTTAAAGAAAACTGACCCCCCATAGCTATCAGCTAGCAATAGTGCCTCAGGTAAGGGTGGGATTTCGGGACATCTCCCCTCTCCTTGCTAAGGTTTGGTCTGGCTTGATCTTGGATGAGCTTGTGGATACTAACTCAATCATAAAGTTCATGTCTCTCACTGCCATGCTGAGTCTGGAGGACTGTTTCATTGCATTCATTCACTACCTCTGGTTTTTATAGTCTCTCCTTCATCTCTGACACAGTAATCTCCGTTCATTGGGAGAAGTGGATGTTATTCAGATGTCTAATTTGGGTGTACAATTCCACAGTCAAGCTGGTGCTGACTGGAGCCATCATCCCTACTGACTAACTGTCATAGAGCTGAAAGGTGCCATCTACATTACTGGGGGAGTGTCAATCTCACCCAGCTGTGAACCTATAAACTATGAGAACCTCTGGTCTGGCAAGACATGCCCACTTGTGCAATAGTAACACAAATGTCATGGAAGTAACAAGATACTCTCTGACTGGACTAAAGTCCCACTAAGCAAGATGAAACCCACATTTGGCATCATTGTAGGGCCGAGAACCTATGGCTAGACATGTCATATCCCTAGTGGAGAACCCATTATTGTTATGCTGCTAAAGGACATAGTATTAGACCAATTGTTACAGACTGATCTTTATACTTACAGACTATAGAGATTCTCAGTCCTTTCTGAGAAGCTTCTATTTACAGTAGATGGTGATAAACATAGACACCCAAAGCTTGCTGAAGTGCAGGGGACAAGAGACTGTGAAATTCTATTTTATGCTTAAGAGAGTCCATTTAGGGAAGGACTTAAATGTTAAATACAAAGTACATGTGAGGAATACCCATGTTGGCCTAGATATGAATTTCTCAAGGATGGCATGAAGTAACAGAAACTACAAAAGAAATGATTGGAAAACATGATTAAGCCAAAATTCTGTACAGTGAGAATCTCCATGAAATATAAAGAAGACACAGAGGCACTTAACCAGACTCCAATATAAGGAAGACACATAAGGGAGACATAGAATGGACAATGGTAACTGAACAGGGGTAAAAAATAGACAAATGAATAGAATAGAAAACAAGGTAAATGCATACCTTAGCAAGAAGCTAGAAAAGAGAACATTTCAGTAACACCTCTTCATGAACCCCCCAATACCCATGTGTAAAAGACTCACCGACTCATTCAGGGGGTGCAGATTTGTATCCATAGAGACAACACGAAATTTGACTGGACAAAGAAAGAGAGAGAGAGAGTGAGAGACCATTTCCTAGTGAGTTCCAGAGACCCAGAGCTGCTCTGTGCCATGTTGAGGATGGCTTCTTTATTCCTGTGTCTATGATGGCTGCATACCTGGCTGTCCTGGTTTGTACATGGGTTTGTCTGTCTGGACAAAAACAACACTTTCTTGGTTCTTCACCATCACCTCATTCGTTTTGCTGAATTCATGTTTTGGTCCTTTGACATGGACAGAGAGGGACACCTTCTCCTCAGAAGATGAGACTCTGGGGAGCTGAGAAGGAGAGGAACACAAGACCCTTCACCATCTGACCCTTTGGAGTTCTGAGATTGCCTTTTTACCTTCTCACTTTCCATGGCACAGGAAGGATGTGGGGAGTTCAATTTCGATTTATGTATTAGGTATGGAAAGAAAACACAAATTTTCATGAGTCAATAGAAACATCAAACATGCAGTCATTTATCTGTAGTAAACATAATCTTGATTGAAAAAGTAGATCTAACTTTGTAACTATGGTAGACTGAAATCTACTCTATTAATTGTCGTAGGAATTGTGTTGTGTCTTTTATTTCATGAGGATTGGTCCAGATGAAGCCCAGCAGTTATTCAGGATATCAATTACACAAAGGACATGAAGTCCTGATCAGTTGGAGTGCTTTTTGAAAGCTTATTACTTATGATCCGGAAATATTACAAAGTGGCAAAACTGTTCTTTCTCTGGGTGGTGGGATTTGTGGGACTTCAATGGGAAAGTAGCATGTGCCCAAGTATTGGCTCCTCCCATTTTGGGGTGGGATGATCTATGCTATTTGTTTATTGGGTAAATGTTGTAGGTTTCTATTGTTTTGAAGTAGTAGATGTGTTTTTAGATTAATCTGTTTCAGAAATATGTTAGTATATATGCATATCTATGAAAAGCAAATTGGGCAGGTATCCAGTACTCACAGTGAAGGAGACGCAGTGGAACATGTCCTTGTCAACCACAAGATCATTGAACAGATTTCTGCTTCCCCAGCTAAACTTCAAGGATGCTTTCACAGTCACTGGCTCACTCAGTTGGTATAGATGGAGGCAGATTTTCTCAGGGGTCTCAGTGCGAAGCTGGGTAGGAACCAGTGCCATAAACTTCCTGGCAAGGAAAGAGTTCAGGCCAGCTGAGAACAAATGTCATTGTCCATGCCTGTGGTTTCATCCCAATAATCATTACCAGCCTCATTTCGACAGCTTGAGGTGGCAGGGTGACAGCGTGATGCAGCAGAGAGGTCAGACAATAATCAGTGATGATAATAACTCAGCTTCAGTGCTGATATCCATCCAGTCAGGTTTAAATGGCCTGTACTCACTGACCTGAACATCGGGGAATTCTTGCTCCCCAGACTGATAGCTGGGATACCAGCATGGGACTGATCCAGACCCCAGGAACATTGGTTTCAGTGAGGAAATCTTGGATATCTACAGGACCTTCTGTAGTTGTTCAGTTCTTATCCCTAGTTGTGGACTTTGGGAGCCCATTCCACATAGAGGAATACTCCCTGAGCCAAGACACACTGGGGTGGGCCTAGGTCCTATCCCAAAGGATACAATAGACTCTGATGACACCTTATGGAAGGCTTCACAATCCAGGGGAAGCAGAAAGGATATGAGATAGTTAAGGTTTATTATGGGTTGCTGGTAGGGGAGGACGGGAGGGAAAAGGGAACTGGGATTGACATGTAAAACAATCTTGTTCCTAATTCAAATAAAAAAATTAATACAAAAATAAATTGCCTGTACCCCCTTCGCTTAAGCAGCTAGCATTCAAGTTCTAGAAAGAGTTTACATTTTGGGGTTTTTTGGGGGGGCGGTTAAAACAGGGTTTCTCTGTGGCTTTGGAGGCTGACCTGGAACTAGCTCTTGTAGACCAGGCTGGTCTTGAACTCACAGAGATCCACCTACCACTGCCTCCTGAGTGCTGGGATTAAAGGCATGTGCCACCATTGCTTGGCGATTTTTAAATGTTTTCATGGGATGAATAATTATAATTTTCATAAAACTTATCAAGATTGTTTTTAATTACCATTCTTGAAAACTAACTCAAAACTGTTCTTATTTTCAGGTACTCTTAAACCTAAGATTTAAAAAGTGACTGTGCAATTCTTGATTGCTTGATTCACATATGCTACACTTGAGCATATGCCAAAGACAGGTCTGTAGGAATCGTTCCCTACTGCTTTCTGGAATTCAAGTTTTTCTACCCAAACTAGCCCAAAATCTAGCCAGTCACTGCTACGTCACACAATAAAAACAAAATCAAGAGGTACCTTTTGTTTTTATGACTTTATATATATTTTTCTGATAAAAATAATAACAAAAGCCAGTCAACAATATAATCCTGATAATGTGGTTGGTTGAAAACCAAATAATGAGTTCTACTGGTAGTTTAATACAAGGGTGTTACTTTAAGACACAAACATCCATTCAGTTCTGGTGTGTCTGAAGTCTTATCTTAAGCTTTAGGCTACACAGTTCAATCCAAGAGTGCCAAAAATGTAAATACTTATCTTCAAAGTGACTAAATTGTTCCAACAAATAAGAATGTCTCTGACCACTTGGATTTTAGATATTACTGGAACAGTCATAGAGAAATGTTGTTCTAAATTATGTTGCCGATCAGTATAATAACACGTGTAGAATTGAAAAAATATCATATAGAATCATGGAAAGCATACATACACTTACTATCTGTTAAAAAGCAAGAAATTATATAAAGAGATTTGCGGGGGAAGGTACTGTGAGAGGAAATTGGTGGTGCTGGATCAGAAGAGGAACAATACGGATGAGCATCTTGGCGGTACTCACGGTTGTCCATCGAGTGAAGAAGCAGAAGGCAGGAAGGCAAGAAGAACTGAAAGGAGACACTGCAGAGCCTGTCTGCCCTTCTTCATGGTGTGGGAAGAAAGGAAAAGAGGACGGGGCCTCTGGTGTCCTCTTCCCTGATATTGTCTCCAGATACTCACTGATACACAGTGGTTTATTTATGGGTGCCCTGTGTAATCAGGGAGCTCCACCCTAGGTGTCCAAACAGACAAGAAGAATTTTCCAAGATTTTTTTTTGTTAGTGTCACTGTATTCAGTGGTGGCCTCAGTACAACTCAAACAAATTACAACAGTATCAGGAAAGGTGCCAGGGTAGTTGTGGATGGTGTTGGTAAAAGGTCAAGGTAATAGAATTTACTTAGCTTGAATCAGAGCAGACCTTAGTACCACTGACCAGTAAATCTCTGCATCAGGTGGTTGTGCTATGACATTTTCTATCTCACTGCTTCTAGTCAGCTGGAATCTAAGGATATAACACCTAAGTTTCTCTTTCCTCATTTGAGAGTCAGTACAGCAGTCCAGGTTAGAGATTTTCAGTTCTTCTGTCTCTGGTCATTCAAGTATCTACTTTTATGGGTCCTATGTGTAAAGAGGGGATTGTGGAAACTGGATGCTACAAGTCACTATGTCTAACTCTTCATTTTATTAGAGGTTCACAACCTCATCTAGAGGTACAGTTGAGAAGTCTTAACTCCACAGTCTACAGAGAAGCCAGATATAGTCTGTGCAACTAAAAGTGGTGGCTTTGAATGCTAAGGTGATCAGCCTTTGGGATGTAACTCAGTTCCTTTGGATTGGCGTTAAGGTATGAGTTGGGATACACAGTAGCATTTCCATTCTGGAACCTGGGGCTGTTTGGTTTTGCAAAGAGCTTATGACAGTGGCTTGAGAGGAAGGTATAGCATAAGCTAAATCAACTTTAATCTTGGGCATTCAGTAAAAAGGGAGAGCATCCAAATAGGGGATGTAGGGTTAGCATGTAAAGGCTGGAAGAGAAATATATCTCTGTATGTTATTGATTGACATATGAACCTGAATTAGTCATCAATAGGAAGCCCCATCAACTCCTGAACTGGTCCTTTCACTCAAAACCCCACTAAAACAATAATTACACTTTTCAGTCTTCACTGCCTGCTTTTTATTTTTGGGTATTACAATTAATGGACTTCATTCATGTAAAATGATGCTACAAGCAATGCACACAAAACCATTAACCGGTGCTAACAATGCTGGATAATATCAGACGGCCGGGCACATCTTAGACAGTGCATAACCCAGACTCAGAATTCACAGATGTGTTTGTGTAGGGAACAGGCATGCTACAATGATTTATTTGAGCTTTTCCAGTCAGAGGAAAAAACGGGGTACAGATTTTCAAATCTTTAAAAAGCCCATGAGAAGGCCTGGAGACCAGAAGAGCATTGGCACATCTCAAGTGGGAGTCTTTCATTGGAATAACGATGCTGCAATACAGCTAAGCTTAACCATGTGAGGGCCTATGAAACCAACTTGGAGTAAGAACTAAAATGGCTTAAATAATGAAAGGATAGAAATCTTCTGTGTTTAGCAGGATAGATTATGTGATTGTATGAGAGGATGACTAGAAGTCTAGATGCCTCACTTGATGGCTGGTATAGTTACCTAGATATCCTGTGATGGTGTTCCACACTGAGAGATTGGGAGCTAGGTAGACACCTTGGCAGGCTGACAGATAGGGAGATGGGTTATGACTAGGTAATTACGGAGGCAAACCTCCAAGATGACTGGCATCTTCCTTACTTTGGTGGTTGAATGAGAATAGACCCCACAGGCTCATATATTGGAGTGTTTAGTCACAAAGGAACAGGACGGTTTGAAAAGATTAGAAAGTGTGGCCTTGTTGGGGGGAAATGTGCCACTGGTGGTGGGTTTGAGGTTTCAAAAGTCCATGCTACCTGAATCTCTCCTCTCCTCTCTCTCTCTCTCTCTCTCTCTCTCTCTCTCTCTCTCTCTCTCTCTCTCTGTGTGTGTGTGTGTGTGTGT